GCATCCCAGTAGGCTGATGTCAAATTAAAAGGTAATGTGATAAGCTCCTAAATCAAATCAGAGTGAAGGCAGACTAGAAAGCAACATCTCCTATTTGATAGCCAGTATGGTGCAGTGGTTTGAGTGTTGGACTAGGATTCTGGGGGACCAGGGTTTGAATCCCTGCTTGGTCATGGAGACCCAGAGGGTGACCTTAGACAAGTCAAGCTCTCTCAGCCTCAGAGGAAGGTAATTGCAAAAACCCCTCCGAACAAATTTTGCCAAGAAAACCCCTTGGCATGGTCACCTTAGGATAGCCACAAATTAGAAATTGCTTGAAGGCACATAACAGTGACAACCTTTCCTCTATGCTGAAGAGGAAGGCTCAAACATCTATGCAGCCCATCATACGTTTGTGCATGGTGTATACATGTGTGTATGGGTTCACTGATGTTCTAATGACTATGCACGAATACAGAGGGGATTCTGTTCCAGAAGTTTTGTTCTTGCACCCAGGGACATTTGTTTTATCTCACACTGAAGGGCTTTATCTTTTACCATCTCAGGCAGTCAAACCCCTCCATATAGTGCTACTTAGTGGCTCTTGAGCTTATGTACATCTAACAAGACATCTTCCTTTCTGAGGAGAAAGTCCATCTCACTCCTATTTGCACCTCCAGTGTGGAGTAGTGGTTTGAGTGTTGGACTACAACTCTGGAGACCAGGGTTCGATTCCCAGCTTGGCCACGAAATCCATTGGGTGACCTTGGGCAAGTCACATGCTCTCAGCCTCAGGGGAAGGCAATGGCAAACCTCCTCTGAACAAATCTTGCCAAGAAAACCCTTTGATAGCTTTGCCTTAGGGTTGTGATAAATTGAAAATGACTTGAAGGCACACAACACACACACACCTTATAATTCTCCATGTATGAGAACAGCAGTTGCAAGTGAGTGACCACCTTGCCTGCAGCTCTCATAATCAACTCTCCAACTCCCTTTTTATGCATCCACTTAGGGATAGAGAAGTCTGACAACTTTGCTTTTCTCTGACATGCACTTTATGCAAAGGCAGACAAAGAGGTCTTCCCTTCAATTTACGGGGGGGGGGGGAAATTGGCAATTTGGATAAGTTTGCAATGAAAAACATGCTGAACAAAATTCTCACTTTCAGAAGCCAAATCCAAGAGCTGACAACTGTTCCCAGTGTCAAGAAAACCATGGGCCCTTTCATACTACACAATTAAAGCACTATGATTCCAGGTAAACTGCCATGGCTCCATGTTATGGAATCCAGGGATCTGTAGTTTAGAGTGGGGTACTTTGAATTCTTAGCCTGAGAGCTCTAGTGCCTCCTTAAAGTACAAATCCCAGGATTCCACAAGATGCAGCCATGACCATTAAAGTGGAATCATAGCACTATAATTGGGTAGCATAAAAGGTCCTTATGTTACCCTTCTCTGCTATGCAGCTGTTAAAGATGGGAAGATCATCACAGGGGAAAAATAGGTGGCATTCCTAATTCAGCCCCACAAGCATTAGTGAGAAGAATTCGAGGCTAGACTTTTAAGAGCTAAGTACTAAAATAAATTTCCCACATTCAATTGTTTTTTCAGACGCAAGCTCTTTCCATTGAATTTATGAAGACATTTGCAATTTTGGAAAGTTTATGCCAAAATGCCTCCCAAAATTATCACCCATTCCTGTTTCCACCTAATTTACTTTCCCTCAGGCTGAATCCTTTCACAAGCCATTCCTTTGAATCATGGGTTTAAAGATGTTTTGTCACTGGTGAATCTAATGTAATCTGTGTCCATCCATCTGAAGTTGTCTCCAGTTAGATATTCTGTGCAAATCATCCTAATTACAGATCAGTTTCTATGATTATAAAGATTATTCCAGGGCTTCTTTTGCCAAGTTGTCTCTTGCTTATTTTATAATGTAACAGCTTCAGTAAAATGCTTGTATGCCTCATTGCTGGGTGTCACACTCTGAGTAATGTGCTTAACCATCGAATAAAAATCTAATGGGTTTGGAAAAGCAGTCTCAAGATTTTGCTTTGACGTATCATGTGTTATATCTAGTCATTGTTGCATAAGAGTCATAGGATAAGGCGTCCATAAATGTACACCATGTTTGCTAAACTAGGGCCAACCCAAGATATTTTGCTGCCTGAGGTGGGACCAGGGCAGGCCTATCCTCCAAAAGAAGGGAACATCCACCTGCCTCAAGAAGACATTTCTGCCCATCTCTCTTTCTTCTGGCACTTGGGACAGTTGGTTAATGGCAGGGCTGGCCCTGTAGTATAGAATACTATACTACATACTTTTGTTGTTGTTGTTTGCCTTCAAGTCATTTCTGACTTATGGCGACCCTATCATGAGGTTTTCTTGGCAAGATTTGTTCAGAGGAGGTTTGCTATTGCCTTCCTCTGAGTCTGAGAGAGTGTGACTTGCCCAAGGTTACCCTGGGATTCCATGTACTAAAGGTAAAGCTATTCTCCGTTGACAAGGTTGTCAAATCGTGTCTGACATTATGCTTAATGGTAGGGCTGGCTCCGTAGGATAATATAAAGGGGTAATAGTGAACAGTATTGAAAATCTTCATTTCTATTTGCATCCTTCCCTGAAACTACCAAATCACCCTCTGAATTCACAACTTGTCCATGGGGTGGTCAGTGTATGTGTGTTTGTGTGTGTGTATATATTTTTTGGGAGAGACTATAGCTCATCCAAAGCTCAAATGAGTACATACACTGGAGGAAGCTGCATGTATCAAAACTATTACCAATACTTTGCAAATCTGTCCCCCCCCCCCCCCAGTAAAATACATGCACACTTAATAATATTTCTGCTTCCCTGTGGGATTCTATATCCTCTTCAAATGGCTTGAATAGTTCTAAAATCTGTTTCATGTAAACTGATGCTGAGTACAATTTTAGCAAAATGTTCAATGGCATGCATTTGATTGAAGTGAATGGGAGCACTGCAGAGCGTTTGTGCTGCCTCCCGTTTGCCTGAGGATCCTTGCTAAAGAAAACGTTTTGTGCCCTTCAGCTGCTATAATTCCATGCTCAGATGTTTTGATAAAATCACTAGATAATTAAATTAATGGGATTTCCTGCCACTTAAAGAAGTACAATAGCAGAACATTAGGGAAGGCTAACACGCATCTCACATAAAGTGATCATAAAATGCATGCCTCTTGAAATAGCATCTTTAACAGTGGCTGATCAATGGGCTGAGTAGGAACAGATGAAGATATCAAGTTCACAGTTATAGAAAATATGTTATTTATAAGTCCCATTAATGTAGAACTTTACAAACTTTGGTAAGTTCTTGTTTTATTTAAAAAAAAGAAGTAAACAAAAGAATTCTTCACTATCCACATTGGCCATATTCAATGAGCACAGCTCTTCTCAACATGGAAATGACTAGAGTATGCTTGTCACAGAAACTGGGGGTGGATTATCAATGGACGTTATCACATGGGGGAAATCTGTTGGTTAATCCACACAA